TTGTTCAAATTAAGTTCTTAGCAATGCATATTACTAATCAAAAATTTGGTTTTGATATATTTATGGTAGGAAATGTACAAAATATCTTCATGGAAAATGATCTTTACTTAATATCCTAATGATTTTTGGCATAAAAGAAAAAATCGATAATGTTGAACCATACAATGTATTGTTGGCTATTGCTACAAATATACCCGTCACATATAAGTCAGACATTGAAGTGAGTTGAAGTGAACAAACATTCACTTGTTTTGGACATTTCGCTCAGATTTATTTAAATGTTCATTCAATCTCATTTTGTGAGTGACTTTTCTTTCTGTTTTAAAGATGTTTTCTTTGGATTGTTTGACTACTCGAAAGAGAACACAAAATATAACTTTTTATAATTAATAATATTTTTCCTGCTAGCTAAATTTCACATACATAAACAAAAATCTGTCTCTAAACCTCTCTTTTCTTTATTCAAAGTTGATGTAGACAAGTAGCCTATATAGAAATTTTTATTTATTTATTCATTGTTAACCTGGCATCACCTCCCTTACAAAAATGAACCGTTTTACTAAAATAAAAATAAATAAACATAGTAAACCATGGTGAACACAATGTGTCCATGCTTTTTCTACACTAACCATATTTATGGTAAAACTGTAATTATACAAAAACAAACAAACAAACAAAAACATTGTTACTACACTTTTACTATAATAAAACTATGATTAATTTTTAAGGGATTTATTTGTGTATACTTTCTTTTTTCTTGTTTTGTTTTATAACTGTACTGCCTTAATGGTTTGAGGTTTTGTACTTTTTAATTAAAAAAAATCAGAATAAGATTCGCAATACTTGCTCCGAAGTACCGTTCTGAAACAAATGATTTGCATACACTCCGAAGTTCCAACCTAAATCAAATGATTCGCGATTCGTGCTCTGAATTTCTGATCTAAATCAAAGGATTTGCGCTCTGCGCTCTGAAATTCCGATTAGAATAATGATTCGGAAACCATCATTTCAGATCGGGACTTAGGAGCTTGGATCACTAATCTTTCAATTCGCTAAATGATTCGCGAAGTCTGAATAAAATGATGCGACGCAATGGTTTAACTGATTCAGAGTTTCAAAAAGCTCTGTTTCACCCATCACTATGTGCTTTTACGTTTTCATATGCGTTTGGCCAATCAATGTCTACTTGCGTCACGATTAGTACCAGTTGTGCTGGTTAGACCCTGCTCCGGAGTAGGAGCTAATTTGGTTCTCGAAAAAGGCAGTCCGGTACTAAAATCGCACCCAGTTCCGGCGGTGCGAAAACGCCAAAAAGTGGGTAGTTCCACAATTAGTTCTGGTACTATGAAAAGGTTCCCGCGGTGCTAAAGGCCCTATTGACTCATTCAATTCAGTTCCTCCGCGTTTCGCGTCTTCAGTCATGTTTACACGACACTGTCAGCACTACTATTGGCTCAGCTCGCTAGTGTTATGACATTAACTGAAATAAGTGAAAAGAATGATGTTTACAAATAAAATATCCATATTTCCATTCCAAAGACAACATCCAACAAATCTACGAACATATTTAGGTGAGGTAACCGGTCAAAGACTATAGAATGCGTACTATAGAATATGTCTTAAAAGGACTTCGAACCAGTTCACTGCTAACTAGTGAAACACTTCAATAATATGACGAGCTGCAGCTTGGAGAATGCGGGCAAATAGCGAAACATTTAATATTTGACAACTGTTTTATGATATGTTAGACAGTGATGGAAACTGCTCGACTTTTTCCTCTAATATGGCCTTTTTGAATTGTAAATAGGCCTATCGTTTACGTGATTCATGAATTCCTAACTGATCAGTGATGATAACGAAACGTTTGGCATTTTCGACATATTAGGCATACAAATGAAAAAATGCACGTAAATACTTCCCTACTAAAATGAGAATTTCTTTCACCTTTCTATTTCTTTATGCTTCATTAGCCCGCGCTCCACGCTTAACACAGTTTTAATGATTTAAAACGTTTTCGATAAAGCCACGATTGAACCAAACCAAATGGTGAAACTTTGATTTGAAGCAAAAAAGTATTTGAAAATCAGATCAAGAGACAATCAGATAAAAAGAGATCTGCTGAATTGTAGACAATGTCAGTTTTCACTGGAAATCCGCTGTTGAACATGATTATTTCAAAAATAAGGTAGAATAATGCAGTTTGATTGGCTTCAACAAATGCATTTATACCATCGATTAACAACCTCGTAGCTCAAAGTAATCAGTCTTTAAAGGTTTGTAAGTTATCATTAAAAATCAATTCCTATGGAGAAAATGAAAGGGATTTTTACTTCCACAACTCGACTGCTGTGCTCTATTGCTGTGCAGTATGGGTGTTTGCTAGTATGTTTTTTAAATTTATTTTTTATTGGATGAAGTTGAGAGAGTGATAATTCTCAATGATAAAGCAGGTGAAAAATTCCGTCTCTATATATGAGACCCGAGTCATATCTAGAAACCAGAGCTGTGCACCTGTTTTATCAATAGCTAGGTGAAAACTGTAATATGATTGCTTAGAGCATGCATTAGAATAACAGAGATGAAGACAAAGATAAGCAAAAAAAAAAAGAAAAAGCAACTGGGAAAAAAACTCAACAAAGCATCAACAGAATAAATAAACAGCAGTAGGAAGTGAATGATGCACTGAGGGAAACAGTGTGAGTTCTTCTGTAAAGAAGAGGCATAATAAAGATCTAAAAAGCCCTCAATGACCAGTTCATCTCCACATATGGTACTTAGCGTCCATTCAGCAGCTAATGAAGGGTTTCTTCTTAGCGGGTAGAGGCTCATTAGCTTGCTCAGGCAGATGGTGGTGCGGTAGGAACAGGCTGGTGTGCTGTACTACATATGTGCCACGTCTGTGAGGAAACTGCTGGACGTTACTGGACAGCTGTAGAGGTTTATCACTCTGACCAGCCCTCTCAAATCCCACGACAACTCGGTGGAGAAATTCAGTCCAGCACTTGTGAGATGCAACAAGAAAAACAAGGTAAAGTTCACTCAGATGCACCTGCAGAACATGAATATATTCTCACTGTGTTACTGGAAAACAGCTTGAAACAGACTCGTGTAAGCATTGTTTTCAGAGATGCTGTGGCTGCAAACATACGGATTGAATCCCAATGTGCCCACCATCCATCTCGTATGATATGCCAAAGTGAGACAGATGTATCCCAAATGGTGTTGAAAATGCACTAAATGGCCAAAAGCATGTGGACGACTTCTAATTAACAGCTTCCAGTGATTTCCATGAGGACAAACCTTAATGCTACACATAAAATGATGAAATCAAGGGAATTGTGTGCTTTAGATTTTGTTGCAACACTTTATGAAGGGCGTTTTTCTACAGCAGTTTGACGACACCCCTGTGCACACAGACAAGTCCATATTATTTGTTGACTTTGGTGGTGAGATGTTTTCACTGGAATTACTGCAACAGCTAAAGCCATTTATTAGAAAGAGAGGGACATATATTGCTTTATAGTGCAAAATTGGGCCATTTTTCCCCAGTCATCTCAATGAAAAAAGTGTCCCAATTTACTTGAATTCCCCCTATATCAAAGGTGCTTAAAATCCTATTTCTAGTTGAGTTGCAATGTTTGCATCCATTTATGTCTAGTCTGAAATATAGTCTTGGCCTTTGCATTTGTGTTTTTCTGTTGAGTATTATATTTAATACATAATTCTTTTTTGGCTCATATAGTCTGATATAGTGAGAATATGGAGGGAAAAACAGCTTAATTTTATTCAGAGACTCAAACTGGTCAAAAATGTGTAATTTGATGCAGATGCTGATATTTATACTTATACTGACAAAAAGTAAGATGAAATTCTGATGCATGTGATGTAAATCAATGAGGTCTTTATAACAGTATAGCAGATACTGACATAAAATTAAATATCTGTCGTCACTCTTTATCTCCAATAATATGTCTTAGTAAGATGATCAGAACATTTAATGCAATGCAATACAGTGATGTTTGAGAGATGAACAAATAAACGTTCCCAGAAAAGCCTGACAATCATATAGTCACATTTGAACATGATTTTTCACAAAAAAAATGTTAGTAAAAAGTTACTTCAGTTGCATTTAGAGTTTTTAACATCATTATCATCATGATAGGCTTTTTTGACAACAGTCTTGTTGGAAACGAGAAGTGGAAATTACCATGGAAATGAGAAGTGATGGTCACACATCTCATTTTAAGACTTTAAAGAGACATTTCACCCAAAAAAATTACTTTTTGTCATCATTTACACTCCCACGTCATTCCAAATTGGACTTTTTGTCTTCTTTTCTGAAACAAGATATTTTGAGAAAAGTGTTCTTTTGTCCATACAGTGGAAGTCAATGAGCCTTAACATTGTTTGGTTACCAGTGTTCTTCAAAATATCTTAATTTGTTGTCTTTTGTGAAAGACATCCAGGTTTGGACTGAGATGAGGAAGAGTAAATGATGAAAATATCAATATCTGAGATGAGGGTAGCTTTGTGTCATTTCCAAACCAAGCAAAATTTAGGATTTTTATTCAGAAACAATCATTTCTTTTACACTTTATACGTTCAGAGTGGTCCTAATGAAAGAATCAGACATTAATGTGTGTGATCGTGTGGTATAAAGGCCTGTGGTGTCACATTGCCATACCAGAGAGTTTGTGAAAACATACTCTGTGCTATTTATTCAACGTTGCCCTCAGTGCAGATATTATTTTCCTTTTTTCTTCCCCGTGACCCGGTGTTCTGCATCCATCTGTTAGTGGTAGTTTTGGCAGTGCCCTATCAGAACGAGTGCCAAATCAAAAGCACCTGTTGTAAGACTCTTCTACTCTTTGCCAAAACCATAAACAAACACGCCACACCAACTGCCAATTTTGTCTGTCAAAGGAAAATAAGACATCAACGGCATCACCCCATGCAACTGTGAAGAATATGCGACAGAAGCCCCAGGCCCTGGTTCAGAGATGTTTCCGAAAGCTCTTCTTACTCGAAAGCGTCGGCGGCCTGAAGTTGCCTTCGTTGGGGGTCGCGAGGAGGTGAAGTTCAGGGATGTGAGACTGTTCCTGGTGGAGAGGAGGATGGGAAAAAGCAGAAGGAATTTTCTGTCTAATCTCGCCAGATCTAAGGGCTTCTGCGTAGACGACGCTCTCAGGTACGTGACACAGAAAACAACCCAGTGGATGATGTGAGACACCGTGACCTAATTCATATTCCAGAGTCACCCTCAGGCCAAGATGTTGGTGACAGTAAAGAAGTTGAAACCATTTTTTGGTTGAAACCGTGGTCCTAGATGATTCATAAAATGCAAGTCAGCGGCTACTTTCTTGCCCACAAGGGCAAAAAAAAAAAAAGTTCAAATTCTCATATTATCCGTCCTAAATAGTATTCAAAAATATAATTAGTATGTCCTGAATCGTAGTATGAGTATGTCAAAGATGGTCAACCGCTTCTGGTTAGAATTCGAAGTGCAGATGCACACTCTAACAGCTAATATTGCCCACAACACATTGCTCGGTGAACAAGGATTCAATTAGAACTACAAACATGCATTAAAAGTGTTAAAAAACTACAAACATGGCAGATATGCGAGGCTGACAGAAAGAGAAAGGGGTTTGAGTGATAAATGTGTTTTTCATCAGGTTAGACATCGATTATTTATTTAATGGTATCCGTGTTATATTTCATCTGCAGCAACATTGTGAACTTTTATAATGATGTGTTTGGTCATTAACTTTTAAATGCATCACTATGTGCATTTAAATGCATCATAGTGATATAGTACAAGTAGGCGAATTGGGACGCAGCATTAGTTCAGTTGGAAAACATACGCTACAATTCTAACCTGAAAATGTCTACTCTGCTCAATACTACTCTGAGCCCAGAGTAGAGCAATGACCATATCCCAAATATCAAAACTCAAAGATGACTGATAGGACCATGCTGGAGGATTTGATGCTCAACAGATCCTGAACTCATTGACAAATATCTGATCTCGTAAGATGTGCTCTCTTTACACAGATTGCGCGTGATCGGGAAATCTAAAGTGAAAGTGAACAGATTTCAATACCCTGCATATTGATAGCAGCTCCCTGCTGCACGAAAATTATACACAATATTAGAATGTTCGTTCAGGATCAGATACGCCAGTATTTTGCCTCATTTCGAGTCTGAGTGACTGTCAGGCGTCTGGAAGTGAGTTATGATTGATTAACCTGTAGGGCTGCCCCCAAATAGTCGACTAATCGTTAGTCGACCAGAAGAGGCTTGGTCGACCAAAATTTTATTAGTGGCTTAGTTGCAGAAAAAACAAAATCCACATTGGCGAAGTCACGCGGATCGTTAAGGCTGGTCTATGTGGTAGTACATCGGGCAGGACATCCAAACGCTGGCCTATCATTCATCGACCTCAAATATGGCTTATCATCTGAAATATGTAAGTATTAGCAACTTTACATGGCCGCTCAATCTAATGTTAACCTAGAGAAATGTGCGTTATTCAAGTGTCTCTGTGGAAGCTGAACAGCAGCTCACTGCAGGACAGATGGAGGCGCCGGTGCGCTCACGGTCTCTTAAAATATTCCGTCATTTTTGCTCATACAGATAAGAGCAATACATCTTTCGAGTCTGTAAAGACTCGTTTATTTGTGTGCACTCACAATAACATCAGAACATTGCGCTTTTGTAAAATAATGAAAGAGATCAGGATGCGCTTTCTGCCGTCTCGGCCTCTGTGAACTTGAGGGCGAAACTCCGTGTATATCTTTGCCTTACAGGCATTAAAAATATATCTATAGAGAGTGAAATGTCTACTTTTTAAATAAACCAATTAAAATGGTAAACAAATATTCTCAGATTATGTAATCCGTATGAAACATGCAGGTGCATCCACTACTGTGGAGATGACGAGTCAGTGTCGCCGACTTCATCTCTTAAACCGAAAACAAAAAAAGCACTAGTTTATAAGTGGATTATTAAAATGTTAATGCAGCCTCCTTACTGTTTTTCCCTGACACATAATCATTACTTCTGCCGGTGCACTGTGGCAAGCTTTATGCGTGTGCTTGAGCGCTTATTAGGCAATTAAAGTCTCATTATAATGATTTAAATGGTTTATTATTAAACGTGCGATTAATCAACTAATGCTTCAAATGAACGACTACTAGTCGACCAGAAAAATCCTTTGTCGAGGGCAGCCCTAGTAACCCGTAGATCTGTGTAATCTGTAAATTAACAGCAAATTTAAGCATTGAGCCTTTGGATCAATCATGTTTAAGGAATTTGAACAGAACTTAAACAGAAGTTAGTTAATGTCTCAGCAAAACATTTTATTATATAAAACATCCAGGGAGAGGGTAGATACGTTTTTCATTGAATGGGCAGTTTTCATAAAAACACGTTTTGGCTTTAATAGTTGGTTTAGCTTAAAAAACGCCAATGACCACCACACTTAATTTGACGTAAATGTATGTAAAACTGATGAACCATGAACCAAGTGTGAAAACAGTCGGAGGCATTTTCTGTGTTTATTTGTTTTAAATCCTACTCAGAGTCATTCAGATCCCAGTAGAGATATTTTCCCTATTTAGAGACCGTGAGTGACGTACATCTTTGACAAACAATTAAGAGCTCTATTTTTGACTGTGTAATAAAATATTTTAATTTGCATACAATTTTATGCAAATCACAGTGATAATGACTAGGGCGGCTGGAGTCCCGATGAGTTTCTAGACAGAAGGTTGCATAGAAAATGATGTTGTAATAATAGCACAGAAACCATCTATTAAAACCTCTTCGCGCAGCTATTGATTAACAGAATGAATCAGTCGCTTCAAGAAGAACCAAACTTTACATGCACAGGCAAACTTGTTTTGAAGTGGAAAGCACAGTGTCAGAGTGTGTAATGTGCTGAACATCACGCTTGAAGTGTCGTCTGTTATTCTTCTCTTCATGGCTGCTTGGTCAGAAGCGATCCTGGGCTGTTGGTGCCAGTTTGTGCAGGTGGAGAAGCACCAGTGGGAGTTGTTTGGGTAGATGGGCATAACAGCAGTCAGCAGTTTGCCGTAGCATAGCGTGCTGAACCCAGCTGAGTGATGGCACCATTCCCAGAAATGCAGCTTGAGCTCGAGCGGCCTACGGCTGCGTGCTGCTGTCTGCAGCCAACCACAGGAAACCCGTCGTGATGAGCTGAAAACTGACATTTCATAAGCCAGTGAGGATTTGATATCTGTACGAGTCTGATAATACTATATGCCCTATAATAAATCCCCTGGTATTACCCTGCACACGGATGCATGTCGTCACGGAGACGCTGCACGGGAAGGGCTGGAACATTCATAATGCACATCTTATGTTATATTGAAGCTGTTTGAATCAATCAAAGCGTGATTGGCTTCCTGTGGAGTTTGATGTAAGAGGAAAATGCAGGTTGCTCATTCATTGCTCGGCATCAGCTTGGATGCTTCTGCTAAAATTCCTTTCAGAGGAATAAAAATAGACAAATCAGTCATGCAGTGAAAGTATAGAGCTATAAAATTCAGATCATTTGATCTTGTGGGAGTTTGCATCAGTCTCTCTGACTTCTAATTGCAAACATTGCCATCTTGAAAAATATGACAAATTTGCATGCAATTTAAATACTCTGGTGCATGAATTTCAGAAGCATGGTATAGAGTCAGAGGCTCATTTGACTTTGGCCGCAAATAAACTGCATAGCGATGCCTTGGCAAACATCTTATCATTTTGGCATTGAGTTTTGCACAGACAAACGCCAGTAATATTTTCTTTAAAAACTGTAAAAATGGTTAAATATGTTGGACTCTAATAATGTATCGTTTCTCTGCTTTCAAGTCAAATCATGTGTTATTGTTAAATAGACCTATTAAAAATGTTTTCATTAGTTGGCAACTAACTGAAATAAGTTTAAGTACTTGAAATAAAACTAAAATTTGAAATAAATTGGTTTACTAAAACTGAAAAAAGAAAGAATTAAAACTAAATAGAAATATAAAAAGGTAAGTTTTATTATTTGAAATAAAGCTAAAAAATAAAATGAAAAATGAAAAACTTGAGAATTAGAAATGCTGCCTTGACAACTAACCGAAAAAAGTGTAAGTAATAAAATTACTAAAACTAAAACTGAAATGAATAGAAAACCTTAGATTGAAAATGATGTTGCTTTGGCAGCTAACTGAAATAAGTTAGTATGAAATAAAAAATACTAAAACTAAAACTGAAGTAAAAATAAAATGAGTTAAATAGCAGTATTAATAACTTCGTTTTTGTTAATTTTAATAAATAAATATAAATATTAGATGAATGTAAACTTAAAAAAAAATGTGAATTGTTGCCTTGGCAATAAATAAAAATAAGTTGAAGTTGAAGTACTGAAATACTAAAACTGGAGGGAAAAATAATTAAAACTAAATAGAAATATAAACTATAAAATATAAAAAACTATAAAATATAAATAAAAGTTTGCTTTTGTTAATTAAAATAAAGCTGAAAAATATAAATATTAGATAAAATACAAAATTTACAAAAACTGAAAAAAATTAAGCTAAATAGAAATTTTACAAAAATAAAAATGACTGAAGCACATAACAAAATTACTAAAACTTAAATTAAAATAAAAACTGAATATATAAAAATAAAAGCTAATTCTAAATATTAATAAATATTCTAATAGTAGGCCTATAATAATACTGAAGTAGTCAGACCATTAAAAGGTTTTGTTTTTTGTTATTCAATCAAACAAACCAGATTTACATTTCGAAAGAATAAAGATGAGAGATTTTCCCTCTGATGGCAAACAGAAGTGAGTAAATTAGTCTCGCAAGCCACGTCAGCGGTCGATTTCCCTCCAGCGCTCTCTGTCTCGAGCTAGTTTCACACATCCACAGCGGCACCTGTCCGTTCTGCTATTGTACCTCGGCGTGTCTGATTGCATAATTTGGTTTAGCCTACTGCTCTGATAGACTCAGTCATTTAGCAAAGTGCTGAAAGCTCAGGACTGAGTGTGTGTGTGTGTGTGTGTACTGGTTTATATATCCTGGTGGGGACTTAAACCTGAATACACACAGACTCATGGGGACTCGTGTCATGTGTGTGTGTGTGTGTGTGTTGATGATCTCACACACGCACACACACACACACGTCACATTCACATCCTAATGTGCGAAAGTCCACCTGATTTGATTTCATACGGTATAATCTGATCATTGAGAACCGCTGGAGAAATGAAAACCGCTGGACGAGAGCGTGTGGGTGTGTGTGAGAGAATCAATCAGTCGCAGAGTAGATGTGAAACTGGATTAAGGCGCTTGAAAACAGCTACTTATGTGCCACACGATCTGGGATCCATTATATGCATCTAATGGTGTGTGTGTGTGTGTGTGTTTGGCAGTGCTGATGTGACGCACGTCGTGTCGGAGGGGAATGCGGCGCAGGAGCTGTGGAGCTGGCTCGAGGAGCAGGGCTTTAGAGAGACTCATGATAAACACGTGCTGCACATCAGCTGGTTTACTGAGAGCATGAGCGCCGGCCGGCCCGTGTCTGTGGAAATCAGACATTACATACAAGTAAGTGCACTTGAGAAACTCATATGGCAAAGAGCAGCAGATTTCTGTCTTTTTTCCACAATCTGTTAGCATTGCTGTGTGTTTCACCTGTGAAATCACTCATGGTTAACTAAAACTAAAACTAAAACCAAAACCACATACACATTACTTTAAATATTGACTAAAATATAGAAAAAAATATATTTAAAAAAATCAAGTTGCCAAGGCAACATTTCAAATTTTTGTTCAGTTTAAGTACTAAAATAACAAAAACTAAAGCTTACTAAAAACTGACATAGACATATTTTTTAAAAGCAAAAGCACATAAAAAAACATTTCATTACTTGAAATAAAACATAGAAGAAATAAATAAAAATTCCAGTTGCCAAAACAACATTTCTCATTTTGAAGCGCTAAAATAACAAAAACTAAAACTTAATAAAAACTGTGTAGAAATATTTTTAAAAATCAAAAGCTAATTAAAATGTAAAAAAAAAAACACAACAAAATTTGCTAAAACTTTAATTTAATTTTAATTTTTTTAGTATTACCATTCGCTTGACCTATGAAATCACTCAGGGTTATTTAAAACTTAATCTAAAACAAACAAATAAAAAAATCATTACTCAAAATAAAAATAAAATAAACATTAACTAAAATAAAACAAAATACAGAAACATTATTCTCATTTTTGTTAAGTTCGTTGAAGTCCTAAAAAAACTAAAAGTTAAAACGTAATAATAATAAAAAAAAAACAGACATTTTAAAAAAGCAATAAACCAAATGACGCATGTGTGTGTCTGTGTGTACTGGTTTATATATCCTGGTGGGGACTTAAACCTGTCTACACACAGACTCATGGGGACTCGTGTCACGGTGGGGCCCTAAATTGTGGTCCCCACGGGTACAAAAGCTTATAAATCATACAGAATGAAGTTTTTTGAAAATCTAAAAATGCAGAAAGTTTCCTGTAAGGGGTAGGTTTAGGGGTAGGGTTGGTGTAGGGCGATAGAAAATACGGTCTGTACAGTAGAAAAACCATTACGCCTATGGAGAGTCCCCACAAGGATAGCTGACCAGACTGTGTGTGTGTGTGTGTGTGTTGATGATCTCACACACGCACACACACACACACGTCACATTCACATCCTAATGTGCGAAAGTCCACCTGATTTGATTTCATACGGTATAATCTGATCATTGAGAACCGCTGGAGAAATGAAAACCGCTGGACGAGAGCGTGTGGGTGTGTGTGAGAGAATCAATCAGTCGCAGAGTAGATGTGAAACTGGATTAAGGCGCTTGAAAACAGCTACTTATGTGCCACACGATCTGGGATCCATTATATGCATCTAATGGTGTGTGTGTGTGTGTGTGTTTGGCAGTGCTGATGTGACGCACGTCGTGTCGGAGGGGAACGCGGCGTGGAGCTGGCGGAGCTGGCTCGAGGAGCAGGGCTTTAGAGAGACTCATGATAAACACGTGCTGCACATCACTGAGAGCATTGAGAGCATGAGCGCCGGCCGGCCCGTGTCTGTGGAAATCAGACATTACATACAAGTAAGTGCACTTGAGAAGCTCATATGGCAAAGAGCAGCAGATTTCTGTCTTTTTTCCACAATCTGTTAGCATTGCTGTGTGTTTCACCTGTGAAATCACTCATGGTTAACTAAAACTAAAACTTAAACGTCTTTTATTTCAGTCAGTTGCCAAGGCAACATTTCAAATTTTTGTTCAGTTTAAGTACTAAAATAACAAAAACTAAAACTTACTAAAAACTGACATACACATATTTTTTAAAAGCAAAAGCAAATAAAAAAAAATTTCATTACTTGAAATAAAACAGAAGAAATATATAAAAATTCCAGTTGCCAAAACAACATTTCTCATTTTGAAGCGCTAAAATAACAAAAACTAAAACTTAATAAAAACTGTGTAGAAATATTTTTAAAAATCAAAAGCTAATTAAAATGTAAAAAAAAAAACACAACAAAATTTGCTAAAACTTTAATTTAATTTTAATTTTGTTAGTATTACCATTCGCTTGACCTATGAAATCACTCAGGGTTATTTAAAACTTAATCTAAAACAAACAAATAAAAAAATCATTACTCAAAATAAAAATAAAATAAACATTAACTAAAATAAAACAAAATACAGAAACATTATTCTCATTTTTGTTAAGTTCGTTGAAGTCCTAAATAAACTAAAAGTTAAAACTTAATAAAAAAAAAAAAAACAGACATTTTAAAAAAGCAATAAACCAAATGACTAAAAAAAATAAAATAAATGAAAGATATTAACAAATCTGTTAGTATTCCCATTTGTATCACCTAAGAAATTACTCAATTCTCCTCAGGGTTATTATCGTGAACTAAAACTAAAACTATAAAACAATTAATTACTCAAAATAATAAAAATAAAAAAAACCCCAAAATAATACAAAATACACAAAATTATAAAACTAAATAATCTAAAAATAAAACTTAAAATCTATATAGACATAAAAAAAATACATTACACACAACAAAATTACTCAAATTAAACTAAAAATTAAATATAAAAATAAAATTCATACACATTACTTTAAATATTGACTAAAATATAGAAAAAAATATATTAAAAAAAATCAAGTAGCCAAGGCAACATTTCTCATTTTTGTTCAGTTTAAGTACTAAAATAACAAAAACTAAAGCTTACTAAAAACTGACATAGACATATTTTTTAAAAGCAAAAGCACATAAAAAAACATTTCATTACTTGAAATAAAACATAGAAGAAATAAATAAAAATTCCAGTTGCCAAAACAACATTTCTCATTTTGAAGCAGAGTTTTTCCAAATGCTTTTCTAAAACCTATACTGGCTCCTATAATTAATTAATGAACTTTTTTTTAGTCAGTATTCTTGTATTTTTGTCCAGTAGAAGTGTCTAATAAATTAATTATTAATAATAACAACGATAATGTCTTAAAAACAAGATACATATACTGGATTCAGACAAAATTAGTATCACACCTGCAGCCTTATCACTTTTCGCCTTTTAAATTATTTATTAGGTTGAATGTAAAGTTTATCATTTTGTAAAACCTAATTTTTGTCAAAATTAACATCTTTGAACTGTGATGATGTTTAAATGACAGTTTTTGCAGTCATTTTACAGTTTGGGATGTGGCAATAGACAATGGTGTTGGTTTAAAAGAACGTTGCTACCTAAACAATGTAATCCTATTTGATTCTATAGTTCTCTTTTTTCCACTCCAGGTTAATCCTGGGCAAACTTAAACTAAAAACTATATTAGCATAATAATGATACTAAAATAACACTGCTGTCATTTCTATTCTTTAATGTCTGAGGTTACGGAAATAAATTAAAATGTTAAGAAATGATTTTATTCCACTTATCTTTTTTTGGCAACATTTCTAAATTCTGTTTAGTTTAAATACTAATAAATACTTCTGATAAATACTAATAAATACTTTTAAATACCTCTGTTAAGTTGAAATACTAAGACAACTGTAATTATACTTTTTTTTAAATATAAAAAATGCTAAAAACAACAAAATTACAAACTTAAAATTAAAATGAAAAAATAAAAATAGACTAATTCAACATATCAATTAAAAGCAAAATAACACTGCTATAGTTTCTATTTAATGTCTGAGATAAATGAAATAAAAATTTAACAGTTATTTATTTTGCAACATTTCACATTTTTGTTCAGTTTAAGTACTAAAATAACAAAAACTAAAGCTTACTAAAAACTGACATAGACATATTTTTTAAAAGCAAAAGCACATAAAAAAACATTTCATTACTTGAAATAAAACATAGAAGAAATAAATAAAAATTCCAGTTGCCAAAACAACATTTCTCATTTTGAAGCGCTAAAATAACAAAAACTAAAACTTAATAAAAACTGTGTAGAAATATTTTTAAAAATCAAAAGCTAATTAAAATGTAAAAAAAAAAACACAACAAAATTTGCTAAAACTTTAATTTAATTTTAATTTTTTTAGTATTACCATTCGCTTGACCTATGAAATCACTCAGGGTTATTTAAAACTTAATCTAAAACAAACAAATAAAAAAATCATTACTCAAAATAAAAATAAAATAAACATTAACTAAAATAAAACAAAATACAGAAACATTATTCTCATTTTTGTTAAGTTCGTTGAAGTCCTAAAAAAACTAAAAGTTAAAACGTAATAATAATAAAAAAAAAACAGACATTTTAAAAAAGCAATAAACCAAATGACAAAAAATAAAAAAAATAAAAAAAATAAAAAATAAAATAAATTCAAGATATTAACAAATCTGTTAGTATTCCCATTTGTTTCACCCTCAATTCTCCTCAGGGTTATTATCGTGAACTAAAACTAAAACTTCCTCCAGTGAAAAAGTGTTCTGGTGTGAATCAGGAGAGAAATCTGCACAGATCAAGCAGCGTTTAAACAGCTCTAAACAAATATGTGGCTGGATTTTGATGTGAGAGACAACTGGAGATTGGCATGAGAAAGCATTATTATGGATTATGGACTCGTCAGAAGCAATGGTTTGAATATTAATGCTGGATTTGTTTCAGCTTTTGTCTTCTCCAGATGTTAACTGATGGACTGGAGTGGTGTGGATTACTTGTGGATTATTGTGATGTTTTTATCAGCTGTTTGGACTCTCATTCTGACGGCACCCATTCACTGCAGAGCATCCATTGCTGAGACACTGATGCAATGCTACATTTCTACAAACCTGATGAAGAAACAAACTCATCCTAATCTTGGATGACATGAGGATGAGCACATTTCCAGCACATTTTGATTTTTGGGTGAACTGTTCTATCTGTTGTGTTGTTTATTTGGTGATTTGGTGATGTAGTAACCACTACTAGAGCACTAGGTGTCGCTGTGAGCCTGAAAGGGTTTCTGACATGACACTGAACCTACAAAATAATGAACGTATGCACATCTTAGAAATGCAGAGGAATAGATCAAATAAAACGTGTTACATGTTCTCGTTCA